GATCAGCCTTTGGAATATGAAAGAAGATCCCATTGTCCATCCCTGAGTCAAATTTCATGGGGTTTGGTCAATAATTAACCGAGATATTGAGAAACAAAATTTTTTGCCCCATTTACCACAATGTTAACTAAAATTTCAAAGTGACCCAGAATCCAGGATTTCTTCCGGATCACCCCCAAAATGAAATCAGTTCTTCCTTTTCACATTTCCAACAAATCCTGAAAATTTCATCAAAATCGGTCCATAACGTTTTGAGTTATGTTGCTAACAGACAAACAAACAAACAAACGCTGGCAAAAACATAACCTCCTTGGCGGAGGTAAATATAAAGTGTTGTATATTAGATTTTGAACATGACACCGTAAATAAAAGGTGTGAACCAAAAGGAAAACCTAAGAACAGTGTTGTGAGACCAAGACCAGTCCGAGACCACAGGGTCCAGAGACCAAGACAAGACCAAGACTTTAAAAGGTCGAGACCTCGGCCCACTGAGACCAAATCAAGACAATTTTTGTAATTTTCAACATTTATTTGTATTTTACAGTTATTTTGGCACAAACATATCAGTGTTTTTATAAATCTATCTCCATTCTATCTGATTGTTAATTTAAGCTTAAAATAAGACAAACAAACTGTACTGCAGTTAAACCCCTTTTTTTGGACCCTCACGAACTGTTTTCATTAATCCCACTTCCACTGGCACTTTACAGAAAACTGTTTCAAAGTGAAGAAGTGGGTAGGATTTTTAAACCTGTGTTCCTAATTGCGGCCGTAATGAAATACGATCGCACCTCGAGTCCGAGACAAGACCGAGTCCAAGTTCCTTCAAGACCAAGACAAGACCGGGTCCAAATGCGCTCAAGTCCGAGACGAGACCAAGACCACGAAAAAATGGTCTCGAGGCCACGTAGTACTACGACTCTACCTAAGAACCAAGCTTCTAACCCTTTATTTGAATCACAACGAAAAATATCACGATGAATACATTTCTTAAAAGTTTCAAAATTCTAAAAACTATCGAAAATAATCATCAGAAGATCATAAATAAATATTTCCTCCCCGTCGGGGAATTGAACCCCGGTCTCCCGCGTGACAGGCGGGGATACTCACCACTATACTAACGAGGAAGGTGTCCTGTAGATCTACGCGGACCGAAACCGAAACTAAACCCATACAGGACACTTAACAAATGTGTCAGATTTGTGTGCTAAAACTGTGAATAAAACAAACAAACAAAAAAAAAAACTCTAGGTCTGTTTGTGATGAGGAAACATTATAACATAGAGCAGAATATGGTGAAAAATCATCCGTTTAATCACAAAACGTAAATAAGAAAGCAAAAGAGATTTCAATTTGATCATAGAATGAGTCCAGTGATTGTTTACGGGCTTAAAAACTGCGCAGGAGTAAACCAGATTTTTACCTATGACGCAACAATCCAGGGATAATTCAAGACGACCATTTTTGTGTGCTCAGAGAAAAATGAAACAAGCATAACTGAAGCAAAATACAACTCCAGAAAGGTATTTGATGAAGGGACAACAAGATGACACGGTTAAAAGTTCAAAAAGAGAAAGACACATATGCAGAATTTAAGATATTTTTACTTACATCCAAGAGTTTTTCCTAAATTCTTATCTTTTTTCTGAAATTTCTTGCTGATTGGGCCAGTACAATTACTTCTGCCAAATAACGTTAATGCAAAGTAGTTCCTAAATTACAAATAAGAATGTCCCACAGTGCTTTCCATACACCATTAGAAAAAAAAAAAAACCTCTAGGTCTGTTTGTGATGCGGAAACATTATAACATAGAGAAGAATATGGTGAAAAATCGTCCGTTTAATCACAAAACGTAAATAAGAAAGCAAAAGAGATTTCAATATTACGTTTATTTTATGGTATATTTTCTCCGCCACTCTTCATCCATCAAGCCTCCATTAGCATTCACAAATTATCTCTCGTATCCCGCGTGACAAACAATAAGAGACAGACGGGTCATACGAAAATGTCAGCTGTAAATGTCAATTAAAGTCTATGGAGTGGCGCGAGGGGAGGGCCTGACAGCTCGGGTTGGGTTTATCCGAGCGGGCCCGAGCTTGACGTGCTCTAGACCCAAAGTGGGACTGCGCCCTAACGCAGTGCGACAGGCCGCTGCACCCGACGCCGCCCGCCCCGCCGAGAGCACCCCGGGGGCCCCACGCGAGCGCCAGACACACCCCCGCTGTCCAATCAGAGCGGGCGGAATGTGATATGTGGATGAGCGATGCAAGAGACAGGGGCATGAGCTCGACAAGAGGGATACACTGTACATAAGAGCGGTGTAGTGGGTCAGGCATCGCGTCACCAACCGCAGGGTGACCGGATTTTTGTCCATGTAAGTAAGAAAAATCAAAAACAAGGAAAAACCAAAAAGTCTTGTCCTAGTAAAGATTTATTGTAAAAAATGAGCTGTGTGCCATCTGCATTTAGTCATAAAGCATTTTAAACCAGAAAGTGTGCAGTTAGTATGCCATTTGCGGTTAGATTTACTGGAATGTCAGTCAAAACGTCAAAATGACAAAACTTCAGTCAAATCTAAGGTCAAAACTTCAGTCAAAACATTAAAATGACAAATATTCGGTCAACTCTTCGGTCAAAACTTCGGTCAACTCTTCGATCAAAACTTCGGTCAACTCTTCGATCAAAACTTCGGTCAAAAAGTTAAAATAACAAAACTTTAGTCAAATCTAAGGTCAAAAGTTCAGTCAAAACGTTAAAATGACAAAACTCTGGTCAACTCTTCAGTCAAAACTTCGGTCAAAACTTTGTTCAAAAGTTCAGTCAAAAGTTCGGTCAAAACGTCAAAATGACAAAACTTCTGTCAAAACTTCTGTCAAAACTTCAGTCAAAAACTTCGGTCAAAAAGTTAAAATGACAAAACTTTGGTCAACTCTTTGGTAAACTCTTCGGTCAACTCTTCAATCATAACGTCAAAATATCAAAACTTCAGTCAACTCTCTGTCAAAACTTCATCAAAACATCAATATGACAAAGCTTCATTCAAAACTTCGGTCAAAACTTCGGTCAGAACTCCCGTCAAAACTCCCGTCAAAACTTCAGTCAAAACTTTAGTCAAAACTTAATTTGTGAAAAGAACTTAAAAACTAATTGTAGTGAATAATTACAATGCTCGGAAGGTGTACGGTAAGTGAGGAATTAAACTTTCAAACAGAAAATAAATACAGGCTACAACTATGAACCTTAGAGCAGTTTTGAGACGTATAAAACATAAAATGAATAAAAAACTATACTTTGAACATGAAATAAGACATAGAAAAACATAAATTCATCCAAAATAAATTATATATCCAGCTGTTCTACAATGTCTATATTTAAAAAAAACAAAAAATAAATAAACTTTGTTAAGATTTAGGGCGCAGTCCTAAATCTTTAAAACCATGTATCGATATAATAAGTACCATATCGCCCCAGTCCGCACTTTCGCCGTCACATAAATCGTTTCAACTCCATTATATGAGTTTGGAGATCGTTTGGTACACAAACCAAAATTGCGAACAAAATTTAATTACACATTCAAAAATGATCCAAATGTGTTGCTCAACTATTATTTATCATTAAAGCCACTACAAAACAGCTCTGTAAAAATACAAGTATAATATTACAAGAGAATTATGCGAATATTATGAGTTTTGGGCCAGTAAATCATCTTATTACAACAATTTACAGACCAAAATGGGAAATCGGCTGAACCAATATCTTCGGATTGGTATCCAGTCTAGGGATGAGCATGATTAATCGATTAATCGATAATTGATCATTAAGAATTTCATCGATTACGTTAACTTTAATCGACAAACCGAATGTAGGTTGCTGTGTGTAGCGTGACCAAACAGGGGTCCGTACATGTGTCTCTCTCCACTCAGAAGGAGCGAGCAAACACAAACAGTGGGTCAGTCTGCAACGTACCGAAGTGCAAATGTGTATTTAACGATGATTTGTACAAGAAATTCCAGACTTTCTGTTGCGTTCGGGACAAGTGTGAGTCCATGTGCACAGTGTATAAAGCAGCACATATGTTTCTGTGTCCAGTGGGAAAAAGTTTTACCAGGTGAGAGTCGCTCAATGTGGATGACGAGGCCCCGCCCCCCTCCCCCCGTACGGTGTCCTGGTTTTGACAAACGCAAATCTGGTCACACTAACCTGTATTCACCTGAGCCGTGTCTTTTAATCTGACAGAAATTGAACCACATCAACGACACAAGAGCTGTAGTTTTATCTTCGCTGAGTTTCTGCAAATTAACGATGCGGTTTTAAGTTTCGTTTCTGTGAGATTTGAACAAAACTGAATTAAACACATTATAATGTCAAACGGGCTGATGTGGCTCTAGAGTCGTTACGGTTTATATGTCGTAAAGTTGAATTTATTTATGCAGATTAGGAGTGCAGATAGTAATAATAATGATGATCATTTTAATATAAAAACGTTAATGATTAATCGATAATCGATCGTTAATTCTTCCGACGATCGATTAAGAAAATTTCATCGAATGCCCATCCCTAATCCAGTCCACCAAAATTTTCATCCAACAGCAGTATCGTATCGGTGCGTTCCTAACTTTCTCCATTATTTTCCAATTTCCATGTAACTGTATTAAGCATGACCCTCCTGGACAGTAACATACCAACGTCTTTAAAAGGTAAATACCTCACAATAACACATTGACATCATTCTTTTGTCCACAGTCTGACTCCAGCTTTCTTCCTGTACTGCTCTCATGCGCCCAAATGCCCCAGCTCGGTTCTCCATTTTCCCCAACTTCCTCCAAAACAATGTGTGGACTTTGTAAAAACAACGCGGCACTACAGACTATTCAGCGTGAGCCCACAAGAGCGTGATCCGAGCGCGTGGGAGTGGTGAGAGGACGCAGGAGGAAGTGTCCGTGTAACCGTATGTGATCTGCTTTCGGGCAAAAACAACGTTGTCCCGCGACACACCGACCTGTTCCAGTAGCTCCAGAACTGCTCGTTGAGGTACGTCCGGTGGCTGTAGTCGTCTCCGAACGACGCCTTGCTCTCGATCCAGTGCACGATATGGCCGTCAACAGCTTTAAAGACACACGACAAAACAAATAATCGGGAATGTCATGAAAGAAGGTACAATTCAGGAATTTACTAGTATTTGAGGGCAATTTGATAAATCATATTATTTCAGCATAAAACAATTTACTATGCAGGGAAACGGGGCTGAAAAAAAGTATACTAAGGGGAAAAATCAGTTTTGAAGCCTAGGAATGAGTTCAAACATCAAAATGTACACACAGTCTGGTATAAAAATTCAAAAATGTCCTCAAATTGAGAAACAAAACCCAGAAAAACCTAGGTATAGTAATATAGTCTTGATTTCTGAGCCTACAAAACTTTTCCATGACTTTTTCATGACCTAAAGTGAATTTTCCATGACTTTTCGGCACCCACATGTGCAGAATTGAGCATATTTTAGGGCTAAATATGAAATGTTAACCCTTTCCACTCACCTTATGGTTTGGTATTATAGTTTTTTAACATTCAAAATCCTGTCAGTGCATTTATTGTTGTCTATTTTCAACAAAAGGCGCAGACGTTCAGAAATAATCTTAATAGTCTAATGAGAACTTAACAGAACGCTGTAGTTGCGTGAAAGAGATACTAAAATTCCATGACTTTTCCAGGCCTGTAATATATGTCATTTTCAGTTTCCATGACTGTGGGAACCCTGACCATGGCTACCAGCAAGGGAGTTTCCTCCAGTACAAGTAGTGTAAATGACACTAAAGCAGTAGATACTAGCGAGAAAGTTGAGATGCATCTTAGTCCATTTTGACAGTTGTAATGATCTGAATATGGCGACTCTGAAATACCGCCTCATAATGGCTACGTTCAGACTGCAGGGCTTAACGCTCAATTCCGATTTTTTTGTTGAAATCCGATGTTTTTGCGAGGTCGTTCACATTTCCAATTAAATGCGACTTGTATGTGACTCCAGTGTGAACATTAAACGGCCCGAAAGTGTCCCACATGTGCACTGGAGACACGACGACGTCAACCGCAGCGAGCGTGCTCCAGAACATGAACAACGAGATTGAGAAGGAGAAGGACGAGGTTTTTGGCCGTGGTGTTTTGTGGGACAGCGGCAGCTAAGTCAGTTGAAAGGAACGTGTGGATGCGGAGATGGAGCCAAGAGTGGTGAGTGGTGATGTGCTTCGCTTCATTGACACGGAGTTCGTTAACAATTTTCGCCAACTTCAGCGCAGAATAGTGACGTTTGTGTCTTGTTGATAACGTGTAGGTCGGATGGATGCGCTTTGGCCGTTCAGACTGAAGTCGCATGTCAAAAGATCAGATATGTATCAGTTTCAGGAGCACATATCCAAGTGGCCTGGGTCGCATTTGAAAAAATTGGATCTGTGTCGTTCGTTGTCATTAAAAGATCAGATACAGGTCACATAGGCTGCGTTCAGACTGCAGCCTGAAGTGACCCAAATCCGATTTTTTGGCTTCTATGTGACCTGTATCCGATCTTTTAATGACAGTCTGAACGGCACAGATCCAATTTTTCAAAACTCAGATCACTGAACATTCTGACGACTGAAGCAGGCGGAAACTGGAACTGTAAAATCTCCAGGTGCTCAATGCTCGCGACCATATTTGGACAACTTCCGTAAACACAGAGACGCTCGCTGCGGTTGACGCATGGGGTTGACGTCGTCGTGTCTCCAGTGCACACGTGGGACACTTTCGGGCCGTTTACCGTTCACACTGAAGTCACAGACAAGTCGCATTTAATTGGAAATGTGAACGACCTCGCAAAAACATCGGATTTCACAAAAAAATCGGAATTGAGCGTTAAGCCCTGCAGTCTGAACGTAGCCATAGAGGCCAAAAAAATCTGATTTGGATCACTTCAGGCTGCAGTCTGAACGTAGCCAATGTCACTCTGGAGCTCTGGAGAAGTAACCAGCCTAAATACCAAAACATGCAAATGAAACAAAACAAGTACAGTTTTGGTGTAAGAGTAAACACCCCAACATGGTACTGACCAACAGGAACTTCCAGGATAATGTCTGGAGTTTTGTCATAGCCCATGGTCCTCAGCTGGTTTTCATCTGTAAGGAAAGAAAGGAAAAACACATATGGGTGTGATCATTTTACAGAGACTAGTCACATCTAAGGGAACAAACACAGACTGTACAATGATGCAATGACTGTGCATTCTTGACATTTGGATACGTAAAGTAAAGAAAAACTGAAAAAGTCTGAAAAAGTCTGAAGATGTGGTAGTAATTTTATCACAATCTGTCATGTAATACAGGCTTATAAATACTTTTGAACTGCCCAGATCGCTTAAATCGTCCAAATGATTCTAGTGAAGTTGTCAGTGTTTCCCATACAGGGACCAATCTGCACCACAGAATAAAAACCAAGCACCACAAATTGATTCCACCACCTCCTTCCTTTTGTAGTTTCTTATATCCAATTATAGTATTTATTTTATTTGAATTATTATATAATGGTTATATTATACTATTTATTTTGTTTTACCAAAAAAAAAGTTAAATACAAGAACAAGTTGTAATATTGGCTGAGCTATAGGTCTTGAGTTAAGTATTTGAAATAAAAACCTCAACATTTACTTGTTTTTTTTTTTTTTTGTAACTGATTCCTTGAATGTCAAAGAATCTAAAGTTCAGGTAAAAGCTAAAGTTTAACATTAATTTTGGTAAATATCGTATTTTCCGGGCTATTAGGCGCTCTGGATTATAAGGCGCACTGTCATTAAATTGGTCTATTTTTAAACTTTTTCACAAATAAACCGCACCGGACTTTAAAGGAAACACAACAGTTGGATGGGTGAGTGGTTTTGTTTGTTTGGTGTGTTCACGGTGACTCTGGGCTTTGTTCAGTTGTGGCGTGTAGGGAGGTGCTGTCTGGGACCAACGGATTGTCGGCGTGTTCGCAGTGACTCAGTTGTTCAGTCGTGTCTAGAAGTGGCACATTGCACTCGCTTTTTCGGTTCGTTCCTCCGTTCCGTTCCTCGTCGGCGTGGAGTGATGAGTGTGTCTGTGGGTGTTTGTCGCTGTGCGGTCGCTGTCTGCTCCGTGTGTGTTTGCGTGTTCTGTGGGTGGTGCGTCTTTGTAGTTTACTGAAGTCCTGCTGGGACACCCGAGTGGATTCGTGTATAGGGCGCTCTGGATTGGGATTTTTGATGTGGTTGGAGGCTTATTAAGAGTGCGCCCTATATATAATTCTCAACTTGAAACTTAAAATACAGGTCTTCCACAAACATAATTTGTATGAGCAAACTGTAGTGGTGCATCTTACAGTCGCCGGCACCACACAGTGCTACTTGATCTGTGGAAAACACTGTGTTTGGAATTTAAAAACACACTAAAGCACTTTCTGTATCACTGCATGACATCACAAGCTGGAACAGAGCGTTTTCAGTTTGAGAGAAGAACTCAGCCTAAATATGCAGGAATAGAACGTTCACTTCACTAGATTTATTTGGATGATTTGAGCTCTGGAACTGCCAAACAAAAGGTAAAACGTAGCTGTTAACATGAAAACTACGATTTCATGACATCACAAGTTGGAACAGAGCATTTGGACACAAATAATGCAGGATTACTCGATCATGTGTGAATGAAACAAAAGGGTAACGGAGGGAAACGGGCAGATTTTTTACATTCAAATGTGTCTTATTCAGAAACTAGAGGAACTATTGAAATAAGTAAAGTATCAGAATGTAGGAAAGAGTTACACTCCAACAGGGTAAAGTTAAACCTGTGATATTCTTTCAAGTTGTTGACAAAAAATTTAAAAACTCATGTCGGTAACGGAGGGAATGAAATATGCAGCACTTTTTGGGCAATAAATCCAAACAGTGATAACTCTTGGTTCTCACTTACATATCCTTAACAAACTGGTTTGAATATTTGCTTCATATAGTTTTCTACCATATGGTACAAGATTAGGTTGAAAAATCTCTTACTTTTTGAGTAATGAGATTTTTTATTAAGAAAGGTCATGGTAACGGAGGGAAAAGTAACAGCGGGAAAATTGTGTAGAAGGTGCATGATTTTACATAATTTGTCGCTTTTTTCTTCCAAATACTTTAATATTACTTCAAAATGAAAGGAAACTATTTCTATAAAATGTCAGTCATTCCAAGCAAATTCTTATCATTTTAAATACATTAAAAACAAAAAAAATCATGTTCCTTCATCAACAGTTCAAAGATGGAATAACACAAGATATGATGAAATACATCCATTTATTTACATGATTTTTGGGTCTTTGAAATTTGGGAAATAATTTTTGTTCCATGTTTCATACATGGTCTGTTTAAAACGTATGTAACTTTAGAACCAAAAATGGTACAGAAAAAAGGTAAACAGTTTCATAAACTAGAGTACATATGTATCTGTTCAATACATTTTTATATCAGATGCATTAACTTGAATTTTTGGCCTTGTTGTTTACTTCTGCTTGACTGAGCCCAAAACACAAGTCCAGGTCTGTTTGTGATGAGCAAATAACATTATGAAATAGAACAGAAAATCGCGCAATATGAACCCTTTAAACTTAACCCGACTGTTTGAGTCGGTTCTGTCGTTTGAAGACGCTCGTTTGTCGTACTCTTAAAGATTATAAACTTCCCAATCTCCTCTCTGGCCGCAGGTTCAAGCAGTGATTGCATTCTCCTACAAAAACCCCATTAACGCCCCCATATACCTCCTTACGGGGCACTAACTTTTAACACTCAACCTTCCACCGAGTCAGGCCAGAAAACACACCGTAAAAACCATTAACTGGCCCGGCTCAGATCTGCTGCCACTGCACTCGGCCTGTAAAGAGGTGCTTACAGAGCCCTCTCCCCATTTACCCCTGCTTTATAAAACATATAACAAGGGGGCCAGCGCGGGGCGGGTGTTAGCGCCTCTGCTCGCCTGACCCCGGCCATCCCGCGATCCATTGGCGGTCGCGGTCGTCCTTGACTCCGCGGCGGCCATTATCCCCGCCAGCGCTCCCCATTTCTCCATTACATCGGCAGACTGACCAGGTCGTTCGGCTCGCGGGGGCCCGGCCTCTTTGTCTTCAGCCAAGCTCGGCTAATGGAGCGTGGAAGAAGGGAATCGGAGGAGAGGATGGAGCGAGCCAGGAGAGGTCAGGGCGGAGAAAGAGAGAGACGGAGGGGGGGGAGAGCGGCGAGAGAGGGAATCCTATCTATGAAATTTAATGTAGCTACTGGCGATGCTTCCGGAAATGTTGGTAATAATGGTATGGCGGAGTTTTACAGGCAGTATATTTCTATTAAATGCGTATAAGTGAAATGGGGGTCGTTTAACGTGGATTCAATGTCGTGTTCATCCACTTTGGGGTGATTAGGACGGGTTAGGCACACGGGGAGCTATAAAAAAAAGTATATTAAAAAGGAGCTGGGCCTGATTTTTACTGTCTTAAAAAACGTGACCAAACAGAACTAGTCCAGTTTGCAGAGGTCCAAAGTTACTCCTCGTTTACCTTTTGCATTCCAAGCCCGCCCGGCAACCGCACTGTCAGCATCAGCACTTCCTGTCCAATTGTATTTCTATGTTTTTTTTGTTTTTTCAGTCATGCTAAAATAGGTAAGGTAGATAAGGCAGTGGGCAGGAGTTGTTGAACACTGTTTAAACCAGCTCTGTAGCTAGCAGTAGCTCTCTACTCCCTTACAAGCAGCTCGCCAAAGGATTTCTGAATAGACACATCAAGAATCTCGGACTTCCGGTCATTGCGCGATGCATACTGGGAAGGATTCTCCGAAATAGTGAGCATCAAACCGTCATGTTTGTTTTCCCAGTGGGATGCGTCTATTGACAAAGCCGATCTTTTCAAGTCTTTTGAAACATATCGCTTTTGTTTCTGGTTCGGATATTGTCGTATTTTAGTTTTGGGATTCGGATGTTGTTAATTGTGTGGTTGTTGGATCCTAACAGTGGAAAATGGCTCAAGAAATTTGTTTGCGAACTCCATCAATGCAAAAGGGAATCAGATGTGTGTCACTGTAAACCTCCATTCAAACTGTTTCCTTTCCCAACGGAATTGAAAAATAGTGAAAGGTGAAGGCGATGGGCAGGATTGATCCACAGGAAGGATGAAAAAGGAAACCTTTGCAGCGAAAACGTGAAATGTGCTTCACTGCTTCACTGATACAGAGTTTATTCACAATTTTAGTATGACAAAAAGAACGTTTGTGTAAATTTGTGACGTAGGTGGGATGAATGTGACCTGGCCGTTCAGACTGAAGTCACATGTCAAAAGATCAAATATGTATCAGTTTTAGGAGCACATATCCAAGTGGCCTGGGTCACATTTGAAAAAATTTGATCTGTGTCGTTCAGACTGTCATTAAAAGATCAGATACAGGAGCATAGGGACGAAAAAATCTGATTTGGGTCACTTCAGGCTGCAGTCTGAACGCAGTCTTAGAGCCTATTATTGACCGCAATGAGTTTAGAAGATTTCACAACTTTCAGAGGCCAAAAAGTCAGGATATTTTGTTCTATACCTAAATAATTTCAGTCTTTGGGATTTGTTAATTGCACCAATGCAATTTGGGATTTTGAAAAAAATTTGTGGCAATGATCTCATTATATTAATTTCATACTTAATGCTGCTACAGCTAAAGTGCAAAATGTTCTGCTCAGTAACCTTGAATGATGCTTGCTACTCTGTTTTATGTTACAAACTCTGAGAAATTCCAGAAGATTCCCAGAAGTAAAACTATCACGTCTGGAAATGGACAATACAAAAGCTTTGGTCAGACTTTCAAAAACCTCGGCTAGACACTTACAGATATTTTTTCCCTTTTGCCACCCTGATGCTTTGAATAAACTCTGTAACATCATTAAAGGTGCTGTTGAACGACCCCCCTGCCTCTGCGCATGTTTTTTCTTTTTGCAAAGATACAACAGAAGTCAACAATTTCAATATCGATTTATAGTGCAGTCACATTACCTTAAATCTCAAGCTAAAGACGAACACTTACATGGAGTTTGAATAACATTTTTTAAATCTATAAAATCATGTATTGAAGACTATTTCTACAAACACAGCTGGTCAACAT